CCCTCAGATATTTGGATATATTAAATCCATGCTACATTTCTAAAGGTGTTGACAGTCCTTCTTTTACACAAAGAAGAAACCCAGGAATGAAAAAAGCATTGGCTGCCAGGGACTTTGGTCTCTCACTTTTGCAATTGGAATCAGGGCTTCCAAATCCATAAGAGTTCATTTGGGTGAATAAATGATTTAAATAAGTCTGAATCAAAGTCAGAAAATGATGTGATACACACAACAGCAGAAATAAACCTCAAATTCATCGTGCTAAGTAAAAGAAGCCTAACTTAAATAATACAGCCAAAGTGCCTCAGACCCTTAACAGGAGTCACCCAATCACGTGTTAGAATGGCTTCCCACAAACTACATACTACATGAGTCCATTTACTTGATATTCTGGAACATACAAAACTGGAGAGTCAGGAAAAAGCAGTAGTTGATAGGGGCTGGGGGCAGAAAAGATAGGACTACAAAGGGGCATGGAGGAATTCCTGAGATGATGGACTGTTTAACATACTGATTGTAGTGCAGGTTATATACTTGTGTTTATCAAAACTCGTAGTTGTATGCTATACACTAAAAAAGGTGAATTTTATTGTATATATCACAAAACGTGACCACAAATCCTGTAGAGGGGAGGAGCTAGATAATGTCTAAGTTCTTTTCTTTCCAAGTCCTACTACTTTATGACATTCTGCCTCTTCCACCCCTGGTGGTTTTAAAGCCATAGTAATTAGGGTAATTAACCTCAGTAATTAACTCTGGGCTCTGATTTCTGTGTGAAAGCAATGAGTTCTCCTGTCTAAATCATGTGGATATGAGTCCTGCCACCATTCTGGGGCTGCTGGCCGTACTCCAACCTGTGACAGAGGTTCCCTTTCTTCTTTCTCCTATCCTGATTCCTCTTAGGACCAGTGAGGGACTCAATAATTAATAAACAAACCAGAATAAACCTCAGGAGACACTGGTTTTATCTCTCTGCACAGGCTTCCTGTCTGGATTCCATTTGATCTTTCCATTAACTTTAAAATCAGGCAATAGAAGAATCATTTAGGAATTCTCCTCCTCCATGGTCTTTTGGGCTTCCACTAGATACTTACACAATTAAGCCATGCAAATGTAAATTAAGCCTCACACAAAATACATATCCAAGCTTGTTGACACTAATATACATATATATGTTTTGTTTTAACACATATACATGCTCCAAGATTACCAATTTATCACATTTTACATACATAGCTAATTATTCTTATGTATGTACATTAAGGTCATAGGTGTGCCATGGCTAGGGAACTCTGAAATAGCTATCAGAATGTTATTTTCTGCTAAGAGACCATTCATTATTTTTTTGCTACAAATACAGTCACAGTGGTGGACTGATGTAGGTGTGGTGAACTGATACATCCTCTTACTGAGTCAATTCCTTTCCTGGCTCTTCTTGGAAGTTTTCAATGGAAAAGTTACAAATATCAGTAACCAGATATCTTATCCATATTGAATACTGGGATAAAAATCAAGGACTAAAACTGGCAATGGCGGTAGTAGTGGGCTCCCCAGTGGCATGCCAGTGTCTCCCAGGCACTATGGCTAGTGGCAGTGCTGGGAAGCCCACTGGTGAGCTAGCTTCTTTGGCTCCTGTGAGCACAGTAGGAGGGGCCAGCTCGCAGCTGCAGAAGATGCTGCTTTTCGGCTGCGACCCCTGCAAGGGCAAGATGTGGTTGGTGGCTGACCTGCTGTTGCTGTTGAACAAGGCTTAGTAGGTGCTCTTCAAGGGCCCAGCCTCCTCTTGTGACGGTGCAGAGTCCTTTGAGCAGCACCAGGACACCATCAACACTCACCAAGGCTCTCTCCACTCTCACTCACGATGATGTTCAGAGTCAGCCTTACCTGGGCCTCTTTGGAGAGTCTAGGGCAGTCTAGCGGAACTGGGTGACCTGATGGTGTTGCTGACCTAGTGCTCAGGCCAGGCTGCCTATCGGGCTGCAGTGGCCACATCAGGCATGCAACCTGAACATCCAAGCCTGGTGGACACTACACACTACTGCCAAAAGTTGGAGCAGAGCTGCACGGTGCTATCAGCCTCTCAACTGACCAATATGACTCCACAGCTGATGCTGGGGGTGTCAGGGCCAGTTGTGCAACCTCAAATTCCTGAAAGACACATGCACCCTGGCCAGTGACAAGTCACTAGAGTGGTTTTGGCAGAAGCAGTTCAAGATGGGGGTCAAGTGCATGAGTATGAGTGCATTGGCGCTGCTGGCCTGTGTATGGGTAAAGGTGGTACCCAGTGAACTGGCAGGCAGCCACTGCTCACTCTTCATCGGGCCCCTGGTACGCACTGTGAGTGTGCTGGTAGATTTTACCACTGAGCCGCAGTTCCTGGCTCGTGTGGCAGCTGTGAGTGCTGAGGGCAAGGTGATGCAGACCTTTGCCCTGGGTGGTGTCATGACCATGGGGTTGGCCTGCGTGCTTCTGACCCAGTGCCTTAGGGATCTGTTGCAGCACCCTGAAGGGGGCGCCAAGATGTCGGACCACAGAAGAGGCTGAGGAACAGAGCCTGTGCAGTATCTGAAGACTACTGTCCTACTGTCTCAGGTTTTAAGATAGAGGTCTCTTAAAGTATTTTATCACCAGTGAATTCCAATTCTGTGAATTAGCAACCCCACTCCATTCCCCTTCTTCTACCCCCAGGCTAAAGGAATATTTATTCTAAGCCCCTCTCCATTTATACCAAAAAAAGATAGGTGACCCCTCCCCCGACACATTAAATGCCCAAAAGGAATCTTCCAGAAGTCAGGGCCAGGCACACAACTCACATGCACGAAAGAGTGTCAAACAGCCCACACAGGAGTGGGGAATAAAAAATGGGTAATCTGCTGGCTGTAGTTTTACTCCTATACCCCACCCGTCTGTCAACTGAATTTTATTATTAATTGGGCAGGAAAAAGGTCAGGGTTCATTTCTTCTTTTTTATTTTAATAAAAAAATAAATGCCCTTAGATATGGATGTAGCTATCTTTTTTTTGTATGTTGTTATTTTTTAAAGCAGTCGTGTTGAATTAGGAGTATACTTGGTGTGGAAAGAGTATGATTTTGCCATGTGATTTGCAAATGGGAGGAAAGCAAAAATGAGCATGTTTTATTTAATTATTTATTTTTTTTGTGGTGCTGGGGATTGAACCCAGGGCCTTGTGCATGCAAGGCAAGCACTCTACGGACTGAGCTATATCCCCAGCCCCAGTGTGTTTTATTTTTTAACTTACACCACAGAGTGATCCCCCCCCCCCATGTCAACTTTTTACCTTGCACGTACTGGAGTATTTATTTCATCTATTAAAATGTTCTGTTTCTTTTTAAAAAAAAAAATCAAGGGCCATAAGACAAGTGTGAACCTGCCAGTGTCCTCAAGGTCTAAAGGACAGAGAAAACCTAGTAGGGGTTAGGTAATATCTACAGTTTATTTTTCTGCTGAGTATTTACAGCAAACACATTGATACAAAGGCAAGGTGCTCATATTATAACAGAAGGGGCCCAAAGAGACAACAAATCCCATAGTGGGCATAGGGTCTTTTTCTATAGGCTCTCCATAGAAGGGAAGAATGGAGAAATTACACTTGCATGATTTAGAACTATCCAGTCATTATTAGCAGTTTGCATTAGCTGAAAATCAGTACTATTTCCCTTGAGTAATTCAGACTTGATAATATTGTTCCTTTGGCATAATTATAAAAAGTTTCACAAAAGACAAATACTTGGTAGAAAACAGACTCTGACTTTTTATTCAAAGGCTATAGTTGTACAGGTCTCCCCTCAAATTATTACCAACGGTACTTACTAAGAATATATTCCTATAGTGTTTTTTTCTTTAGTATATATAATTATACAAAACCATGAAAGGTCAAATAAATGTTGTCTTTTTAAATTTTAGGGATAGACTTTCACAGTGTACCCTATGGCTGTTGTCTATAGTCATAGAAGTGAAAGAGGAAAGGCTTGCTGATCAACATGGGGACTGAAAGGAGGCCTTTAACAGTGCTCAAAGCAGTAGCATGTTGCATCTTCCCAGAAACAAAAATGTCCTGTAGACCCACTGCCAGGCTTCCAATTGTCTTAGAAAACTGAGAGGACCATGAGGTACATGAAGAGTGACTAAAAGCTCAGCTGGCAAAGATTTGGCTGGTCCTCCCAATCCTCAGGCAATAGATCAATAGGATTTGCCTCCTACATACCTAGCAGGCTCAAAAACTAGCAGTCTAGCCATTTTCCACTCTGCCTAGGAACATAAGTATAATCCTAAGGCTCAAAGATGATACTAGCTTCTTAGATTCTTCAGCCCTTCTACTGCACACAAGTCAAGGCCATGTTTGAGGTGAGTTCCATTCACTTATCATAGGATCATACACCCTCTGAGCTAACTAATATCCACTTAAATCTTGCTGAGGCCCAAGCCTAAAAAGATAAAAGCCAGTTTCCATGTCCTGATCAAGTAGTCTTTTCCCACTTCCTGTGCTCCTTCTGGACCTGATGCCTCTTACCACCATTTCTCAGCCCAAAACACCATTAGTTTCTGACCAAAGTGAAAATTAGCCAGGTCCCATATTCTATGCTAATTTACTACATCCAGTTATGAAGAACTGAAAAGACATACAATGAGATTTCTGCATTTGAAATAAGTTTCTTTTATTAACACTACCATAGAAATGATTACTTGACAAACTTAATGGTTTTAGTATGTTTGCTTTAAGCAGTGCTGGGGATCACATCCAGAGCATCTATGCTAGGCAAGCAGTCTATCACTGAGCCACAATTCAAGGCCATCAATGGTCTTTTGATATACTGGAGCTTTTTCCTTTTGAAAATTCATCAGTTTGTATTAAAATTTAAAGTACCATTACAATACTTACAATTGGCGCAATTATGCCATAAGGACTATGACAAATATCTTTATAATAAACATTTTAAAAGAGAAGGACTAAAGAAAGGAAAGTGACAAATGACATTACCACATCCTGAGATGCATACTGAGGGTCTTCTGGGTTAACTGACCAGTAGCAATAATCAAAGCTGAATGCTACAACCTTCTCCCGGGAGTCTCCAAAGCAATCTGGTCGATCATCCACCTAAAATCAAACATAGAATCCAATGTCTTCTTTACTATAATATCAGACACAGGCCAGTGGCACTTGATCACTCCATACTATAACTAGAGAGACCTGGACTGGTCGCAGAATATTTATGAAACCTAGTGTCAAAAGAAAAAAATGTAACAGGGCTGAGGGATATAGCTCAGTTGGTAGAGTGCTTGCCTTGCATGCACAAGGCCCTGGGTTCAAACCTCCAGCACCACAAAAAAAAAAAAAAAAAAGGTAACTTTTATCTTCACTTTAATAGGTACAAATAAAGTCCCACAGAACTAAATCAATGTATCATTCTATCATGTATCTGTTTTAATTAGTAACAACCATAGGAGATACAGGACAGCTTGAGAGAGAAAGTCTCTCCCTCTCCAGGCATCTTCATCACTATCTATGTATCTTCTGTACAGTAGACTGAGAGCACATAAATAGTAAGTAGTTCTGCCTCTAGACCTGGCAGACTGCACCAAGCTGGAACTTTCACTGAAGTTCCTGGGTACTCACCCCCAGTAAATTAGAAACCATGTTGGACAGAAGAGATAGGAACAATCCAGCTGCCCAAGGAAGACCCAAAGTTGGAACTGCACTGAATTCTGAGTACTGTGGAGAATGCATTACTCACAGAAGTACCTTGTGTTAATATTTAAAATTCAGACTCTGAACAGGGAAAGAACCTAGCCATCAAAAACCATAGAAGCATCCCTGAATGCAGTGTTTCATGCCTGTAATCCCAGAAATTTGGGAGACTGAGGTGAAGAATTGCAAGTTTAAGGCCAGCCTGGACAACGTAGTGAGACCTGTCTCAAAATAAAAATAAAAACTGCTGGGGATCGCCAGTACTTTAAAAAAAAAAAAAAACTGCAGAAGAATGAGGTTATCAGAATGAGTAAGACATTGTTAGTGGACAACTGACCTTAGGGAAATAAGCAGCCAGGGAAGTATTTAGAGGGCAGATTAAAGTTTGATCTTGGATGGGATTTATTCTTAAGAACCAAAAATATGAGATCTTAGAACAAAACAGCTGAAGTGATTAGGCAATAGAGATATAAATAAGAGATAGCAAAGAATAAAATAAAAGGATCTTTGTTTCCAGGGAGCTCATTTTGAAAGTCTGACAGTCCCATTCTCTTTCAGTGGGGAGTTATTGAAAAAGAAAACAGATCACATCACAGAAATGACCAAAGTGGGCATGGTTCTAAAGCCTGGGGTCCAGATAATCCTCACAATTGCCACTCAATGTCCTCAGCTCTTAGGAGTGCTGGCTTCCACTTGCAAGCTGATTATGGTAGTACTCACATGGTTGAGTACTACCATAATGCACTGTCTCTCTCCACTCCTCAAAGTTCACAAAGGGAAGAACACTTCCATTACCTGCTAGTCTGATAAATAGTGGAAAGGATGGAGGAAATTAACTCTAGGAATGAGTAAGGCAGGGGAAGGAAATTTTCCATATCTGACCAATTGTGACTCAAAGTTTAGTCAGATCTGTGAAAGAAAACCTGTAACAAGACTCAGGGTTGTGAATGATTCCCTTCTGGGATCTGAAGGCTATTACTTGGGTCTCAGTATGGCAAAAGTAAATCTTGCATTATCAGGTACGTTCTAAAATCCCTAATAATGTCTCTTGATAAAATGATATCAGTTGAGAGGCTTGGGACAAAGTCTGACAGGTATGGTGGTGCACACTTGTAATCCCAGAGGCTTGGGAGGCGGAGCAGGAGGATCATGAGTTCAAAGCCAGCCTCAGCAAAAAACGAGGCGCTAAGCAACTCACTGAGACCCTGTCTTTAAATAAATAAAATACAAAATAGGGCTGGGGATATGACTCAGTGGTAGAGTGCCCCTGAGTTCAATCCCTAGTACCCACCACCCCACCCCATCCGCCAAAAACAACTCTGATGGTCAGATGAGTTAAATAGACATACAGATTGCCCTGGCATGATTTAAGGTAGTCACAGCCTCCATAACATCCTCAGTGTTTATTTTCAAAGCAGTTACCAGTTCCCAAAATAGCTGCATCAAATGTATACATATATACATATGCATACACATACATACACACACATACACACACATTTTTTTTTCCTGCCAGTACTTGGGATTGAAAGCAGGGCCTTACACATGCCAGGCAAGTGCTCCACCATGTAGCTACATCCCAGTCCTTTTTATTTATTTTTTAAGTTTTGAGACTGAGTCTTCCTAAGTTGCCCAGGCTAGCCTAGAACTTGCACTTCTCCTGTTTCAGCCTCCTGAGTAGCTAGGTTTACAAGCATGCACCACCATGCCCACCTCTATTAGCTATGTGATAGAACTTAGGCTGTAGTAGCCCACATCCCTTGGCTTTTTTCTTACAATTTTCCTTATATGATCCTCTCTCCCCCTTCTACATACATTCACGTATACATTTTCACCCCAGAAGCCCCTGTAATAATTTTAAGACCTCAGTGGAAAGAAAATGGAAAATAATGTCAGGTTTACCTTTAAATTCCTGATCTTTGCCACTTTGTCATCAACTTCCACAATGATTCTTCCCCCTTCTTTGGTCTCCCTGAAAACAAGAACCAAAACCATATGAGAATAAACATTACTTTAAAAAAAATAATAGAGAAGCTCAGATCAGCACTAGGGGGACAAAATGTTTCCCTATTGCTATAGCCTTAAGTCAAGTATCTGTCTCCATAAAAAAGCTATAAGCATTGTATCAAGCATCACAGCATGCTTCTCTAGATCATTACAGTTTAATTCTGGAACAGCTAATAGTCACAACTTATTGCACATACCTATATGTGCAAGGTACTATATTAGGTGCACGATTTATTGTACTTCATTTATTTATCCTCATATTCTTCTGATAAAACTTCTTAACATATTTTCACCTTTACAGATGAAACACTAAAACAGAGAAAATTACATTACTTGTCCAAGGTCACACAACCAGCAAGGGTAGAACTAGGATTTAAATCCAAATTTGTCTGAACACAAAGCCTGAGCTTTTAACTATAGCTTGGAAATCAGGCTTGGAAATCTTAGAAAGTATTCTTAGCCCAGCACATAACATGGTATAATCTTTTATCTTCTCTGGGATTTGAGCAGGGGTATGAAAAAGGTCTTGGAGTCTTCTCTGGTGAGATACTGAGACATTTTTCCCAAATCCTTTCCTTAAATCTTCTTACAGCAGAATGAGAGCCAAAATCCTTAAAAATCTTTCTATGTTGCAGTTACGTGGTAACACTGCTAACACTAACTCTTGTTCATTCCTTATGGTTAAAGGTTGTGAACAGGAATAAGCCATAGGCTGCCTACATCAAATTATGGGGGGGGGGCTGGGGATGTGGCTCAAGCGGTAGCGCGCTTGCCTGGCATGCGTGCGGCCCGGGTTCGATCCTCAGCACCACATACCAACAAAGATGTTGTGTCCGCCGAGAACTAAAAAATAAATATTAAAAATTCTCTCTCTCTCTCTCTCTCTCTCTCTCTCTCTCTCTCCCTCCTCTCTCACTCTCTCTTTAAAAAAAAATTATGGGGGATTAAGAGAAGGTGGAGTTAATTCAAATTTGTGATTGGGGGGCAGGAATAACAAATTACATTATAACAAGATTGCCAGGTGGCTTTTACATACACTATAATTTGGTAACTACTGCCCTAAAAAGGAACAGAACAAAATTGTTGTCACTTGATATTTATTCCTTTGAAAAACTTAAAAAAAAAAAAAAACAGCTAAGTACAGGTTACAGATGAATAAAAATAGTCACTAAAACTCATGGAGCTAACGCTTTATTAGACACTTAAAATGAGCCAGGTTCTAAACATTTTTTAATGTATTCTTTTAATTTTCATAAAAAATATGAAATAGTTCTCCCTATTTTATAGTTTAAAAGAAAAAAAACAGAAAAGCTATTCACTGTATGAGAAGTAATTTTTCATAGGTCAGGATGGACTGCTGCGGAGTCTACAGAATTGGCAGAACCATTCAATACTGAATGGTTTTAGATTGAAAAATGAAAGTAACTCACAATGACAAAGAGAATTTCTGATTATGGGAAACAACTGTGTGGTAAAGGGGATGACATCAAAATCATTTCCTATGTTATTTTATTTAGGGTTCGTTATCTGGTCCTGCTAAAGAGCACTTGAGAAAGAGGTATAACTTCCCTGTAATCTCAGGAAGCAGCATTTAGTGAATCAAATCTTCGCTGTTTGCTTTTAGACCTTAAACAAGATTATTTCCTTATCTAGAAAAACAAAAAATGTAAACTTGGGTCAGATGATCTCCAGAATTTCTTCCCAAGTACAACATAAGATCCAATGACTTTGTTAACTGAATCTGTGCCAATGACTTATTTGAAGGGTGAAACAAACCATACAATCAGCATATTCCCCACATGGAGAACAGCCTTGATGAAGACAGTGGAAGTTAACACCTTTGGGCACATCTATGATCTCTGTAGGATTCTGTGGGAAGAGGAGAGTCATTTAGATTCTTAGTTGGGATTGAATTGGATTTTTCTATATCTGTGCCTGAATCTGTGGTCCTGAAACTCCAGCCTGCTACAATCTACGAACACCTCAAGGTCAACAGTCTTGGCATTCTACCACTTACTCTCAAAGCACTTCACTTGAGCTAAAAGTAAGTAAGTTTTTGTCCTCTTCTTTCCACTTTTGTTGGATGAGATAAAGTTATTCTCTATCATGGCTGTAAATAATAGCAACCCAATTTCAACATCATTTTCTTAATCTAATCCATGGTATTTAAAATTCCTAATTCCTAAAGAACTAAGAAGTTACTACTAAGAGTGGTCAATGTTGTTACCCTGAGAATCCTAAAAGAACAGTTTTGAAAAAAGAGGATTTTTACCAGAGGCTATCTCCAGGACAGCAGCTACACCTATGAATTCCTAATTTTAAATCACATCCAGTTATGCAGAAGGCAGATGTCATAAGCCATTTACCAATCAAAACACAGCAGTTTAGGTACCTGCTGCGTTTCTTTCTTCATAGTACCTCTTTTGCCTTCTTCCTATTCTCTTTTCTCTCTCCTTCCTGCTTCTCATTGCTCTTATAATTATTCTGTCAATTACAAGACTTCAAAGTCAATTACCTTTATATGAAACCAATGTAATTAACCAATTGCACCAAATTTTGTTTTGGGAGACAATGTCTTTCTTTTTGTTTTGCAGGGCTGGAGATTGAATCCAGTACCTTGTACATGCTAGCCAACCACTCTACCATTAAGCTATATGCCCAGCCTAAGACAATGCCTTTTTTGACTTTTCTATGCAATTATCAAGTCATCTTATATCCTTGAAAATTTTAAATTTCTCAAATAATTCCAATATGTGCCTCTGGTTCCCAACCACTCTCTGCCAATTTTATTGCCTATCACTTACCTCCCTCCACACCAACCCTCTCTCAACCAAAACTAATCTGTTTCCAATAGCCTAAATATTTTTCTTTTGGTGTTCTTACTCCTTCAGGGGGCCCTCTGCACTTTCTCTACCTGTCAGCAAACTAAAAGATCTTTAAAAAACAGTTTGAGGGGCTGGGATTGTGACTCAGTGGTAGAGCGCTTGCCTAGCACATGTGAGGCACTGGGTTCGATTCTCAGTACCACATAAAAATAAAATAAAGGTATTGTGTTCACCTACAACTAATTAAAATAAATAGATAAAACACAATAAAAAAAAACAGTTCGAACACCAACTCTTCTTCAAAGTCTTACCTTACTCTCCAAATATATGAGTAAAAAAAAAAATAGTGGAAAAAAGAAGAAAATATGTGGATGGATTCAGGAAGCCTCAAGGGCTTAAAGTTGCAAGATCAGATTCATCCCTGAGGAGCTAGGGATGTGGAAGAAAGAGATTAGAGTAACTTCCTTTACTTCAATTCTGTCTTTGATCAGGTCAGCTGTTGAGCGCAAACTAAAACCACCATCTCTCTGGGCCTCAATTTTCCTCTCAAGTCCTCGCAGAGGAAAACCATGTACCCCCTTTTGTCTCAGTCCTCTAGGGTTACATCAAGAATAGTGACAGACTGCCCAACTCTCCAAATCCTTCACAACCTGTAGAATGAGAAAGGCCCAATCCCGTGCATCAAGACTTGAGTCATGGTCCCTAGAAACTCCAAGCTGGCAGGACGCCAGGACACTGCGCACACAACGCGCCGCTCTCCTGAGGCCGCCGGGGAACTGCTATCCTCCAGGTCACAACAAGAAATTTCGACTCCAGGCCTGTTTCGCCAAGCCTTTACGGCTTCCGGACCCTGGGTCCCTGGGTCACTTTGTGTTTTATTTCCCCGCGCCAGAAAAGTGGGGCCCTTGCGCTCCTCTGAGTTCTCTTGACGCCTCAGGCACCCCCTCCTGCCCAGACTCACCGCTTGTTGAGAGGCCGGACCCTCACGGCCACCTGCACATTCGCCATCCTTCGGTTACAACTCAATCCCCGGCGGTCAGTCCAGTCTAGGCATCCCTAGCCCTGCCTAGCCAGGGCCAAGCCCAGCCCCACCCCCAGCCGACCCCGCCCGCCCCACGCGCCTCTCGGGACACCCACGCCCAAATCCGCGCCACTGCCCAAGAGAGGCGGTGCCCCTGAGCCTTAGCCAATCCGGAGCCAGGTAGGCACGCTCGGCCCCGCCCCTCCTCGTCTACCCCCTCCCTCCTCCCCCGCGCCGCGGAAGCCGGCTGGAGGTGTCCGCAAAGTTCAGGCCTGACCGTGCGGCGCGGAGGCTTTGTTCTCGGACTTGGAGATCGTGCTACACTCAAGTAAATCCATTAAATTTTGATTAATGTTCAAACGTTTATAATTATCCAAGCATTTTTATTCGTTGTGCTGGCCTGATATGTCAATGCTGCGGCAAAAAAGAAACGGGCAGAAACTGCTTTCCAGCAGAGTATTCGGAGTATGAAGAGGAATTTGAGTGCTGAGGAGCTCCATTGTACCAGAACCTCAAGGCCACCGTGGCAGTGTTTGTAGTAGTAGAGGAAATGCCGTCTTATCAGAATTAGTTTACTAATTTACTCAAGAAATACTACTGCATAGCTACAAAGTGTCGAGCACTGATTTAAAGCCCAAACACAGTGACGAACAAAACAATGTACCTGCATTCTTGGAAATTACAATCTGCAGGGAAGAAAAAGGGGACAAACACCTAAAATATAACATAAAAATATAAATGGGGGGGTGGGGATGTGGCTCAAGCGCCCTCGCCTGGCATGCGTGCGGCTGGGTTCGATCCTCAGCACCACATAC